ATCTATCTTTTGTTAATTTGCTTCGTTCAGAGGCCACCTTTCCCACGGAGACCCAAGGTGGATTACAAAGGTATGTAGAAAAAGAAATACTTTCAACCAGATAGCCTAAAACATCCAGCAGACGCCGTGGGAACAGGATGACCGAAACAGAACGACTGGGACTGACTCTCAGAGACACCTCCTCAGCTGCGCTCCCCACGCTGTGGCAGGAACATTTAAATTATGTGTCTTGCAAAGAAAGATTTAAATCTTTCCTGAAACTGCTGCCGGTCGACCCACCCTAGTTGTTTTGTGTTAAGTTGGCAGAAACAAATGTTCTTTTTAAAGTGAGCCGTGAAGTGGATGATCCAGTAGCAGGTGGATTCCAGCCATCCGCAGCCTCTCCGCCCTTACTGGGAAGGATCTACGGCACGAAGCCGCTGTGCCCGGCAGATCAAAAGCCGCAGCCAAGCAGGGCACTACTGGCCCAGTGCCACCTTTCCTCTGGATGCCCGACCCGCACAGAGGGGCAGGAAAAGGGCAAGAATGTTTGTTTTTGTTAAAAGCTTTATACCCTGCCTTTCTTATTTCTTTAATTCCTGTATACCCAGCATTTCTTCCCAACGGGGACCCAAAGCGGCCGTTTGGTGTAGTGGTTAAGAGCGTGGAGTCTAAACTGGGAGAACCAGGTTTGATTCCCCAATCCTCCACATGCAGCCAACTGGGTAACCTTGGGTCAGTCACAAGTTTTCTCGGAGCAGTTCTCTCGGGAGCAGTTTCTGTCAGAGCTCTCTCAGCCCCACCCACCTCACAGGGTGTCTGTTGTGGGGAAGGGAAGGGAAAGGGGTTTGTAAGCCGCTCTGAGACTCCTGTGGGTAGGGAAGGGCCATGGGGTATGGATCCCATCTCCTCTTCCTCTCTCCATCTCTCTTTCATCATCCTCTTCCCAATTTTATCCTCTCAATACCTCTGTGAGTTCAGCTAGGTGGGGGGAGCGTGACTGGCTCAAGATCACTGAGTCAGCTCCATGGCATGAGTGGGGATTCAAACCCAGGTCTTCCTTCCAGATACTGCCCCAACACTCTTAACCATTAGTCTACACTGGCTGTCTTTCCTTGCGGCTCCAGGTGTCTGAAAGTGCAAAAATTTAGGAGAACCCTGTTAACGGGAGTTGGGTCTGACCCGGGGATAGGCTGGACTGTTCAGTTCTGAAACAGTTGCCCAGGTGAGACCATTTGATCCTCTGCGTACAGAGAATATGTGCACTTCACGGGGCCTTGTACGTGTTCCAGTTTGGGTAATGGGTAATGGTCTTGCTAGCAAAACGTCTATCTCACTCGGTGCCGATCCACAGATTTGTGCGCACCACCATAAGACGCAGGCTGCTGTGCACGGAGACAGAGACGAAAGCCCTCTGCCACGTCTGGCAGAGGTCGGGTCCGTCTGACCCAGCATCCTGTTCCCTACAGTAGCCAATCGGATAATTCTTCTGGGAAGCCCCCAAGCAGAGAACAAAGGTATCCTCCTCCTGGGAATGGAGGTAGCCGCCTCCTTTGCTCGGACTCCGAGCAACTGGTTTATTTGTTTACTTAATTCATTAATTCAATTTCTACCCCGCCCTTCCCACAAGCGGGCTCAGGGCGGGTTACAATAAAATCGAGATTAAAACTATAGACTTAATCATTAAAAGATGGCAATTAAACTGCATCACAGTTATTACAGTGGTGCCCTGGTGTTAGAAAATTAAGGCAGGGAGGACGCGGTCCCGGAAGGGATGGCAGATTACAAACTACCTCGGAGCGTGAGGCTTAACTGGCCCATGACGGCTAATTACTCTGGAGGGACCCGGCCTCTGTAAACCTGACTCATGTCCAAGCCATCTAGACAAGCGTCCACGTCTTGTGGAAGCGAGTTCTCTGTGTTGATTCTGCAGTAACCGAAGAAGGACTTTTCTTTCGTCTGCCCTAAACGTCCTGCTCATCGGTTTCATTGAGACCCCACCCCCACCCCTACAGACACCTGTGATCAAATTCTAGCGTTTGAGGAGAAGGGAGAGAAAGTGCCCTGGTACGGCCTGATCTCAACAGACCTTGGAAGCTAAGCAGGGTCAGCACTTGGATGGGAGACCGCCAGGGGAGACTCTGCGGAGGAAGCTGAAGAAGGCCAGCCGCCTCTGCTTCATCACTTGCCTTGAAAGCCCCTTGCTGGGGTCGCCATAAGTCAGCTGTGACACATACACACTTGGGGAGAAGAAAGAAGAAGAAGAAGAGATTGGATTTCATACCCCGCCCTTCACTACCCAAAGGAGTCTCAGAGCAGCTTGCAAACTGCTTCCCCTTCTCCTCCCCACAACAGACACCCTGTGAGGTGGGTGTGACTGAGAGAGCCCTTGACAGAAACTGCTCTTTTTTTCAAGGACAGCTCTGACAGAACTAAGGCTTGCCCAAGGTCACCCAGCAGGTGCAAGTGGAGGAGTGGGGAATCCAACCCGGTTCTCCCAGATCAGAGTCCACGCACTTAACCACTACACCAAACCGGTTGGCCACTGAATGAAGAAGAGATTGGATTTCATACCTCACCCTTCACTAGCCGTTTGGATAGGGCGGGGTATAAGTCCCAAAATAAAATAAAAAATAAAAAATAAAAAAGTACTCAAAGGAGTCTCAGGGCGGCTGACAAACTCCTTTCCCTTCCCCTCCCCACAACAGACACCCTGTGAGGTAGGCGGGGCTGAGAGAGCTCTTGGCAGAATTGTCCTTGACAGAACAGCTCTGAGAGAACTATGGCTTGCCCAAGGTCATCCAGCAGCTGCAAGTGGAGGAATGGGGAATCAAACCCGGTTCTCCCAGATTAGAGTCTGCGCACTTAACCACTACACCAAACTGGCTCCAAACTAGCTTTTCCACCCCATTTTCTCCACATCATGAATAATTTTATACACTTCCATCCAGGGCTTTTTTTCCCCTTCTCTGAAAAAAGAGCCATCGGAACTCTCAAGGGGGAAATGAAGTTTTCAATCTGTATACTGAAAACTCATGAACTTTTAAACATTTCAAAAAGAATTTTGTTGAAGAGGTTCTGGAACTCCGTTCTGGTGCGTTCCCCCAGGGAAAAAAGCCCTGCTGCTTCCATAAACGCCTGTGTTTGGCCATCTTTATTCTAAACTTAACAGCTCCAAACTCTCAAGGTGCTCTAACCTCTGGATCACTTCGGTTGCCATTTTCTGCTTCTTTTCGAAAGCTGCAACATCTTTTTCAGGATGCAGCCACCAGAACAGCACATGGCAGCGCTGTCGATCTGTGCCAGGGCATTACAATTCTGGCTGCTTCATCTGCAGTTCCTTCCCTAATTATTGCAATAGAAAAGAGCAAGAGTCCAGCAGTACCTTAAAGACTGACAAAATATGTGGCAGGGGAGGAGCTTTCGTGAGTCACTGCTCACTTCTTCAGGTACAGCTAGAATGTGAGTCCATCTGTCCTATGTATTGGAAAGTGGAGTGACTTCAGATGCCAAATGACAATAGCAAGCAAATGACAATAGCAGGTGAATAACAATAGCAGGTGTGATTGGATGAGGTGTGGCATGCAGAGAGGTAGTAGGCATGGAGACACCAGTGTTGGTAATGAGACGGGAAACCTAGCTCTGGATTCAGTCCAGGAGGATGCATTGCCTTGAGCTTCATTTATCAGTTGAAGTTCAGCAGTCTCTCTTTCTAGTCTCCCTTTGAAATTCCTTTGTAAGACAACTGCTACTTTTAGGTCAGCAACTGAATGTCCTGGAAGGTTAAAATGTTCCCCTACTAGTTTTTGAATGTTGTAGTTCACTCCACTCTCCAATAAATAGGACAGATGGACTCCCATTCTAGTTGTATCTGAAGAAGTGAGCAATGACTCAGGAAAGCTCATACCCTGCCACAAATTGTGTTAGTCTTTAAGGTGCTTCTGGACTCTCACACTTTTCTACTGCTACAGACTAACACGGCCACCCATCCTAACAATTACAAGTGAATCATTTCCTGTTTCATCACCGCTGCACACGGAGTCGGCTTCTTCATCGACCCCAAGATCCCTTTCCAAGTTAGGTACTCTCTGTTCCACACAGACACCCCTAGGGGGGTTGTTTGGGGCCCACCCTTCTCTTTGCCCGCTGTCCCAAGACCCCAATGTCTGCCACGGAGCTGGTTTGGGGGTGCCCAAGGGCAAACAGAAAGAGGAGGGTGGATTGAAGAAGAAACCCGGGCGCAGAGCAAGAACCCACTCAGCGCAAGCCTGTAAGGCTGCCATGGCCAGCAATCGCAGCCCAGAACCCTACTCTAGGGCCAGACCCAATGGCCGCAATGGGACCACACAGGACTGGGAAACCACAACCGCTTTGGTGCATGAGGGAATGTGCTTGCAGACACTGCCAGACTGAAGGACAAGGCCCCCTGGCCTGATGACACCACCGCCCTGTTCCAAAAAGCAGGAGAGACCTGCGGTGCCGGGGGGGGGGGGGGGTCAGCCTCTAGCCTTCCAGCCTAGAGGGCTTCCTGTGCCCAGGGGGAGCGGAGGCTGTGCCACATATCCCGGTGGGCTGCTTGTTTCCGGAAGCCAGAGGGGGACGTGCTCTGCGCTTGCAGCTGGTTCCCATGACATTTGTGCGAGGAGGAGGGACAATGGTGTGCGCCACCTGGCATGTCCCGGGCACATTCCTCAAGCCAAGCAGGCGGTGAATGATTCTCCAGGACGGAGGGCTAAACTGGAGAGCTATCATGTTCACAGCTGCCTCTTGGGGGCTTCACAGGTCACAGGAGAAGTCTGAACAGAGTTTGTTTTCCCCTTAAAACGATCCCTTTGGGCTCCCTCTGAAATTAACCCTGGCTGGCAGTTTGGCTCTCGGCTTCCTCTTAAGCTCCAGACCCTCGTTTCTGGTGGGCTGCTTTTGCTCGGACATGGGGGAGGGCGCTCAGAATGACACCTGCTCTCCCTTTACCTGAAAGGTCACAGTTCTGGGGGCGGCAGGGGAGGGGGGGGAGAACTCACCATTTCGGCCTCCTCTCCCTCGTTGAGCAAAGCCTGGTGATTCTCTCCATGTTCTCCTCCCATGGGCTCCTGCCAGGTGTTGCCAAGCCTTCCCGCGGGGTCCGTGTGGCTGTCCCTGCAAGCATGGCTCACCTTATATGCCCAGGAATCCAGCGACGTACCCACCCTCCTCCTCGGCCGATGTGGAGGACAGACAGCTCCTCCCCATGGCCCCAGGTAGCATGCACCTCCCCGGTTCCTTCGCCTCCCTGCTTCGTTGCCAGCGCATGCAAAGAGTGCGCTGGCGAGAGAAAGAGGCAGCCCAGCCAAGGTCTCCTGCTGGCGAGAGGTCCTGGGAAGGGGCCAGAACTGGGAATGCCTCACCCGGAGAGGTGCTGGGATGGCTCTGAGTGGCACCTCACAGGAGCAGAAAAACAGGTATGGCTTCGCCACAACGAGAGGCGCACCTGTACGCACGGGAGCGAGAATCTTGCTGTGTGCTGCAAAACCGGACAATGCTCCAGAAACAGTAAGTCTCTCCCCACCACACCCCCAATCAATGTAGAAGAGGAAGAAGAAGAGAAGAGAAGATTGGATTTATACCCCATGGCCCTTCACTACCCAAGGGAGTCTCAGAGCGGCTTACAAACTCCTTTCCCTTCCCCTCCCCACAACAGACAGACACCCTGTGAGGTAGGTAGGGCTGAGAGAGTGCTCCGGAAAACTTATCTTGAAAGAACAGCTCTGATAGAACTTGTGACTGGCCCAAGGTCACACCAGCAGCTGCCTGTGGAGGAATGGGGAATCGAACCCAGTTCTCCCAGATTAGAGTTCAGCGCACTGGCCCCTTCGTAGGTGAAGCGGGGCAAGCTTCCGTCTGGAGATATTTTTTGGGCCCAACAGCTGTGCTTCTGAAACATCATTTCAAGCTCCTAAATCTTATAACTGTCATTGCATTCTTCTGTACAGGTTGATGAAAGATAATGGCCACTGCGACCCTAGCAGGGCTCCCGCAGTGGACTTAAATGGACGTCACTGTGTTTAGAGGGGCCCCGGAGGCACAATCCACAGCAGGCCATCCCACCCTTTGCGCCTGCTGCCTCCGCCTCCCAAGAAGAAGGGTCGGTTTTTATACCCGGCGTTTCACTACCCGAAGGAGTTGGGGTTCCCAGCTCCGGGTTGGGAGATGCCTGGAGACTTGGGGGGTGGAGCCTGAGGACAGCAGGGTTTGGGGAGGGGGAGGGATCTCAGTGGGGTATAAGGCCAGAGAGTACACCTTCCACGGTGGCCATTTTTCTCCAGGTGAGCTGATCTCTGTTGCCTCTGGAGATCACTTGAAATAGCAGACCTCCCACTACCACCTGGAGGTTGTAGAAACAACAGAGAGATCACAGGAAGGATGCAAAACAATAACGAGAACAACCGTGATGTTATATGACGAAAATAAATTTAGACAACTATTCTGTAGTGAATCGTATTTCTTCATCACATTGTATTAGCCACAAGGTATAGATAGGAGCTATCGGTCTGGGGCAAGGGATGCTCTGTGTTCTTGGTGCCTGGGGGGGGGGAGCAACAGTGGGAGGGCTCCTAGTGTCCTGGCCCCACTGCTGGACCTCCTGGTGGCACCTGGTATTTTTGGCCACTGTCTGACAGACAGAGTGTTGGACTGGATGGGCCACTGGCCTGATCCAACATGGGCTTCTCTCTGATGTTCTTATAGATGGAACACTCTCTCTGGGGCAAGGGATGTTCTGTATTCTTGGTGCTTGGGGGGGGGGCAACAGTGGGAGGGCTCCTAGTGTCCTGGCCCAACTGCTGGACCTCCTGATGGCCCCTGGTATTGTTGGCCACTGTGTGACCCAGAGTGTTGGGACTGGATGGGCCATTGGCCTGATCCAACATGGGCTTCTCTAATGTTATATTCTCTTCCTCCTAGGAGGAATCTCAGAGCATCTTACAATCTCCTTTCCCTTCCTCTCCCCACAACAGACACCCTGTGAGGTAGGCGGGGCTGAGAGAGCTCTGAGAGGACTGCTGAAGAGAACAGCTCTGAGAGAACTGTGACTGACCCAAGGTCACCCAGCTGGCTGCGTGTGGAAGAGTGGGGGGGTCAAACCCGGTTCTCCAGATTGGAGTCTGCCACTCTTAACCACTACACAAAACTGGCTCTCACTATGCCACATCCAAAGCTCATCAACAGAACTGAAATGTCGTCTTGGGTTGCCAACTCTGGATTGTGAAGTCTCTGGAGATTTGGGGGGGTGGAGCCTGGGGAGGGCGGGGTTTGGGGAGGGGAGGGACTCCAGTGGGGCATAAGGCCACAGAGTCCACCTTCCAGGGGAAGTGATCTCTTTTACCTGGAGGCCAGGTGTACTTCCAGGAAATCTCCAGCCACCGCCTGAAGTCTGGCAACCCAACTCCCTTACAATATACAGGGTGGTGTCATAGAGCAGGAGAAACAGCATTTCAGGCATTCAGACAAACGTGGCAAGAACCAGGCAAGATACCACATACTACTTGCATCGTAAAGCTATGGCGCTTTTCCCTGTGAGGATTAAGCAATCTTCTCTGCGCATGTGTCACTGTCAGTTATGGTGATCCCAGCAAGGGGGTTTCACGGCAAGTGAGAAGCAGAGGTGGTTGGCCATCGCTTTTCGAGCGTGTCCAGAATGGGGCCACCAGGATGGCGAGAGGGTCGGAATCCAAGTCTCACGAGGAAAGGCTGAGAGAGTTGGGTCTGTTTAGCCTGGGAAAGAGAAGGCTTAGAGGGGACATGATTGCAGTCTTCAAATATTTAAAAGGCTGTCATGTAGAAGACAGAGCAGATATATTCTATCTTGCTCCGGATTGCAAGACTAGATCTATTGGGTGGAAATTACAAGGGAGTCGACACCAGCTAAATATCAGGAGGAACTTCCTAACTCTGAGAGTGGTTGAGCAGTGGAACAGTCTGCCTCGGGAGGTGGTGGGTGCTCCTTCGCTGGACGTTTTTAAGCGGAGGCTGGACAACCATCTTTCAGGTATGTTGCAGGGCTCTCTTTCGGCTGTGCTCCTGCAGAGGGCAGGGGGTTGGACTAGATGACCTGCAATGTCCCCTTCAACTCTAACATTCTCCAATTCCTCTGCAGATCCTTCCTTGGTGGTCTCACTTCCAAGTGCCAAGTACCACCCCTGCTTAGCTTCCAAGATCTGACAAGATTGGGCTATACCTTCCCTCCAAACTTTTATGAAAGATTTTAAAAAACAACAACAACATGTAGCTCTCAGTCCTCCAGAATGTGTGCAGAACTTCTTTGAGTCAACAAATTAAAAGGGAAAAGAAGGATTTTGTGCAGCTTTGAGCCACCTTTTTATCAGCGATTAACATTTGAGCTGTGGTGGCTCAAGTGGTTAAGACGCTGAACTGCAGGCTGTGGAAGGTCAGTAGTTCAGCGGTTCAAAACCCGGGTGCCGCAAGACAGGGTGAGCTCCTGTCTCTAGTTCCAGCTCCTGCCAACCTAGCAGTTCGAAAGCAAGAAATTGCAAGTAGATAAATAGGGACCACTTTGGTGGGAAGGTAACAGCGTTCCGTGCGCCTTGGTGTTTAGTCATGCCGGCCACATGACCACGGAAACGTCTTCGGATAGCGCTGGCTCTTCGGCTTTGAAACGGAGATGAGCACCGCAACCCTAGAGTCGGATTCGACTGGCTTTCGAGCAAGGGAACCTTTACCTTTACCTTTTTAACATTTCCCATGTCAGATCTTATCAAGCTTTTATGGCTTGGAAACGGAGATGAGCACCGCATCCCTAGAGTCGGATTCGACTAGCTTTCAAGCAAGGGAAACCTTTACCTTTACCTAATTCAGTGGAACCCTGTACTGGATGGCCTTGGCTAGCCTGATCTCATCAGATTTTGGAAGCTACACAGGATTGGCAAGAAGAGGAAGAGGAAGAAGAGGAAGAGGAAAAGGAAGAAGAGGAAGAAGAGGAAGAAGAGGAGGAGGAAGAAGAAGAGGAAGAGGAGGAGGAAGAGGAAGAAGAAGAGGAAGAAGAAGAGGAAGAAGAAGAGGAAGAAGAAGAGGAAGAAGAAGAGGAAGAAGAAGAGGAAGAAGAAGAGGAAGAAGAAGAGGAAGAAGAAGAGGAAGAAGAAGAGGAAGAAGAGGAGGAAGAGGAGGAGGAGATGACTGGATTCATACCCCTACCCTTCACTACCCAAAGGAGTCTCAGAGCGGCTCGCAAACTCCTTTCCCTTCCCCTTCCCACAATAGACCCCCCCTTTGAGGTAGGTGGGGCTGAGAGAGTTCTTGACAGAAACTGCTCTTTTTCAAGGACAGCTCTTATCAGAACTATGGCTTGCCCGAGGTCATCCAGCCAGGGGAGGAGTGGGGAATCAAACCCGGTTCTCCCAGATTAGAGTCCACGCACTTAACCACTACACCAAACTGGCTCTCCACGACACCAAATTAGATTTTGGATGGGAGACTGTCAAGGAAGTCCAGGGTTGCTATGTAGAGGCAGGCCATGGCAAACCGGCTCTGAAAGTCTTTTGCCTTGGAAATCCCATAATTCGTCATGAGCTGTCGCTTGATGGCAAAAAAAAAAGTATATGTTATTGTGAAGAAATGCATTTTTTCTTTGGAGGTTTGAAATGAGCAAAACCTTCACTCTGAGCTGTAAAAGTTTTTTCCCCCTCTGGGCAGAGAACAGGCTGGAACAGAGAACAGTCTTAACTGTTTTCCAGCTTACCTTCATACAAATGCTAATAGAACTAGCAGGAGAGATAATGGATGGATCAAGCTCTCCCCCTTCTCCAAGCAGGGAACAAAGATTTGGAGGACTTTACACTAGAGAAGCTCCAGGAATAATCTTCAGGAAGAAGCTCCAGGAAACGGAGGAGATCAGGGCCCTGCGGAACCTGGTACAGTTCCGCAGGGCCTACAAGACAGAGCTCTTCCACCAGGCTTTTGAGTAGGAGCCGCTGCCGCCACTACCACCACCGTGCGACTGCAGAGCAGTTCCGCAGCATCAGGCTGACTGGCCAGATGAAACATCGTGGCCCATGGCATCCCCCCCCCTTTTTTTGACCCCACTGAGATAGGCAATAGGGAGTAAGTATTGTAGTCATTTATGTATCCTGTGAGATGTGCATTTTTGCCTAAACTGTTTTAACCGTTGACTTTTACTGCACTTGTGCCTTAATTGTTTTAACTTCTTGTATTTTTACCGCACTATTGTGCCTGTGTAAGCCTCCCTGAGCCTGCGTGCGGGGAGGGCGGGGTATAAATGAAAATAAATAAATAAAAAGACTCTGGTGTAAGAAAGCAGAGACTGATAAGATCTTTGATGCCATCGATCCTCTTGAACAAAAGTGAGCATCCCAGAAGAATAATTTCTGTTGAGCATGGCTCTTCCCCTTTAGCCGTCCATCTGGTTCCATCCACAGCACTACTCTAAACTGTGCTGCATTATAACAAAGAGAGAACGGTGTCAAACGTCTTGAATGCAAACCGCCCCCACCGCCCCCAGTCTTTCTTCGCCCTCCTGG